CAAAGGAAGGGGCAGTGTTGCGTCAGCGAGGTCACATGACTAGTGTCACGCCCCGTTTCTAGAACTATCCTGTACCTTGGTGAATGCCCTAGCGTTTACTAGATATAGGGTAGCCTGGTATATAAAAGATGGTCACAACGTGACAGAACAGTGTGTGTGTAGACAGTGAGTAATTGATCTGCAGTCAGAGAGTATTATTGAGCACGTTCGTTGTTATAGCGTTTGTTTTAGCGTGATTGTTGAAATTAAGTGTATCGTAAAGTTATATTCGGAAAGAATTAACCAGTTTTATTAAGTAAGGACTTGTGTCGCTAAAGTTTCGTCGGAACGAAGTTACGGAAAGTTAATTAACAAACGGAGACGTAACAATATTAAGAATGCTTAAAAGTAACCGCTAATTTCCAAATTCACGATAATCACACGTTGATATATAAAAAAGTAATGTAATATATCATAACCTTCTAACTCTTAGTTTGTGTTAATTTTAACTTAAGTTACAAGTAAATTTTTTAGAAGTGAAAGTCTTGCCACCACACCTTCAAGATTCTCTCGTTTGACAATATATAATAGGTGGCGGAAGTATGCAAAGCACGAGACTTTCTATTAATGTCAGTAAAAGCTAGTAAAAGTTAAGAACTGTGTACTCTTGTTTTCGATTACATATTAGTAACTAGTCTATAGTGCAAAGAAGGTAGGGTCATTTTTCCTGCTTGTGGAAGTCTTGTGTAGTATGTATAGACTTATATACTTCATTTCTTCATAAATTAACATAAAGAATAAATGTTTTATCTCTGAAAATTGTGAATAAACTCCTAATTCTTACGCAAGTTAATTTACACTTTTGCAATCACAGCCTGCTTTATATAAATTATAATAATGTTACCAGATTATTGCAATTTATGTTTTTAGCTCAAATTAAAAAAAAATAGTTTGGGTTGATTTTTAGTTTTACCAATATAAATACAAGTTATAATTAACTGACCAATAGTAACGTAGTTGTAAAGTCCAAGGAAATAACTATTAACTAAGTAAAATAGTGCAATGGTACTGTTACTCAGTGTTAGGAATATATACTTCTAGTTCTATTCTAATCTTTTTAAAAGACTGAAATAGGAATAGAATAAAATATTCGTGTTATAATCATAACACACTTTGATATTTGTCATAAGAGATTAAAAAAACAACAAAAAAACAGTGAAGACTAAAGTTTATGAATTTGCTGTGTAAAAAGATGATGTTTGGCCTAATGCCATGGACATCTGAGCAAGTATACAACTTGTTAGTTAGAAATAAATGATTAAAATAAAACTAAGCTAGGCTTTAAATTCAGATGTTATATTTGAAAGGAAAAAAAATTACTTGTACTTAACTCACAAAATATGATAACCAGATAGCAACTAGTGTATGTACATTTACTTAAGATTCTTACAAAATTAGTAATGGAAATAATGTTATATTGTAAGTATAATTAAAATAAAACATCAGTTATGACTAAATCATTTTAGAAGTTGTAATGAATTGTAAGATATGCATGAGTTTTGCAAGGAATGCTATTGTAATTTGCAATTTTGCACAAAATATGTAGCTAACATTTTTTTGTAACACTGGAAAGCAAAGGTTGTGCAGTATTATTTAAACTCAAAACATTTTTATTCCAAAATTCTAAAGGGAAATGAATTTGCCCTTTTCTGTTCTTTAATCAAATTTATCTAGTTTAAGTGCAGTTGCATGAAAATTTCCTGCCTATGCTGCTGTTTTTTGTTGTTTTTATCTGTCATGTAGTGGTGAGTTATTGAAGGTTTGCCCTATTTTGTAATTTATCAGTTAATATTTTGAGAAGTAAAGTAAACTACAAGTTCTGCTTCTCTTGTGATTAGTTAGTGTCCACATGTTTTGTAAGTTTTGCCAGTGTTTATGGATTGGGTGTCAGTTTTAAAGTCTGAGTGAAGAATGGTTACAAGCAAAGAGACATATCTAAATATTTCATGTATTATTACTAAGTAAGAGTGTCGAGAGGTCAGGTCAGTTTCATTGGGTATTCACTCGATCACTGTATCTTACAACTACATTGGTGTAGTTATGAAAAAATATAAAATTTGCCCTGTATTTCATTTTATAACAGTTGCTTTATAAAAACAAATATATTATCAATATAATACCTTTAAGAAATAATGTTGAGTATTTTGAAATTCATCCTTTTTGGATTTGTTTAATGAAGTAATTTTTTTTTATATAGACTAAATATTACATGTAACATTTACACATTTTTCTAATATGATAAACAAGTTTCCTGTGTTGTTATGCCTGCAGCAAATTTAAAACTGGCCAACCATGGAATTAGATATTCTACATTAACAAACTGAAATAGGGATGATAGAAGTAAGAAAAAAACAACAAACATTGCTATTTCTATTTTAAAGGAAGACGGTCTATTTTATGACAAAACTTAAAATGATACTGTTAAAAAATTAGAACTCATTATCATAGATATAACTGAAGTTAAAAAAGAGAGAAAACTTAAAAAAAATGTTATGGTAAGCTGACTTAACTAAAAATCTTAGTGTATGCCAAAAAAAAAAGGATAGGGATCAAAACAGTAATTGCATAGATCTATATTCTTGAGGAATGAGGTATGTATTTAGTCTGACTTGGACTATTGGTTGGTAACAACAGTTGCATATGAACTGTGAGATGTTTGAATTATTTATAGCATTTTACCTTACCCATCTTTGAATGTTTTTAAGTGGTGTGAAAAATATTTTACAAGCATACCTGTTTTTCAGAGATGATTAATGCCATATGCTAGTTCAATTTGTGGGATGAGTTCAATGAAAGAAGGGATATTTTTTGGAATGAATGGTTTACATTTAAATAGGATAGGGACTGGCTTGTTTGCAAGAGCTGTTAACTCAGCTGTAAGGGAAGTTTTAAACTAGGACTAGACAGTGGTGAAGGCCAGGATAAACTAAATGCAAAAAAAATAAGTTGTAGAGAAAAGTTTAGGAAATAGGTATAGAAGTATTTCTAAGGGTAGGCTTAATTGTTACTGTTGTAATGCTAAAAGTATAAGAAATAAAATAGATAACTTTAGAGCACTGGTAGGAATGGAGGATTTGGATATAATGGGAATAACTGAAAGGATGGTTAAACGTA